GGGGAGGTGGAAGAGGGCATAGAGGGGATACATGGTGATGGAAAAATTAAATTTAAAAAAGATTTAAAAAAAAAAAAATGACTGCTTCATGTGTAGCAGCCCCCATGGCCTGCTGTTACAGAACCATGGCTCCAGGTGCCAATAAAGGGTCCACTGCATTGTAAACAGAAATTGCTTGACCCTTGGCCATTTGGGATATCTCATATGACTAGGAAAATGCATAAAAGTGGCCTATGGTATTCGCAAGCATGTCATTTGGAGTTCTTTATTACAAACAACAGAAACCAACTCTAGTTAGTTCAAGCAGTTTTATTGGAAAGCTTTGAGGGGGTGGGGCTTGGGGAATTTTCTGGGAGGCTGAAGAATCAGAAACTGGCAGGAACAAGGGAATTGGGCAGCCAAGGACACAGCCATATCCTGCACAGGAGCTACTGGCCACCAGCACCCTCAGCTTGAGCCACATTGTCATCACCACAACAGCACAGGAGCAAACACTTGGTGATCCTGGCTCCTCTGACTTCCTCCCTCCAGACTTAAATTTCTAAACACTAGTGTCTGATGCTCTTAGCTGAAGTCCCAAGTCCTGGCTGCTCAGGGCCTGGAGCCCAGGTCTGGTTCCTTGGAAAGGGGGGGGAAGAGAAAGAGAGAGAGAGAGAGCACCAGAGGGCTTGCGCCTCACCTCCAGTAGGGCCCTCTACAGTGATAGGTGTCTCCAACACCAGCAAGGGGATACAGCAGGCGCTGGGGAGGAGTCCCCTTCCCTAGATTGACTAACTTGGAATCAAAGGGAAATTAGGGCTCCTGTGATGCAAGGGAGTGGAATGACTACCAGGATCTCTGGGTGCTCCTAACCTACCTCCTGGCATGGTACCTGTCAGGGTACAGCAAAGGTTAATATTAGGCAAACCACCATAACCCCGCCCAACAAGGGCCTCTAAGTTCACACACTGTGGAGTTTCATGACAGCTGAGGTGCTGGCAGAAGGCCAAGGTGGAACATAGAATGTCTGCGGGGGACGAAGTTATAAATACCAGCTTGACCAGGTGCAGAAAAGAAGGACTGTGCTTCTACCTATGTTTCCATACTTGCAATGAGAGAATAATAATATTTTTTTAATTGGAAAAGTTTTGATTTTACTTATTTTGTTAATATTCATGAAAATACACTGACACTGTAAAAAAGTCAAGTAAATTAATTATAATTTTTAAATTATTTTGGGTAAAAAAAATCAAAAACCCTCTTCCTCACTCTTTTCCCCCAACCCCCTGTCCCTCCCCAAAGGTAAACACTGCCATTAGTTAAATATGTAGCCTCTAGATACTTCTTTGCATTTTCATATATAGTTTGGTTTTGTAACTTTTTATTTTACATAAAGACTACATATTGCTCTACAATATGCTTTTTTAACTTAACATTATGTCTTGGAGATCTCTCCATACCAGTCAGTATACACAGTTTTTAACTGCTGCATAGTATTAACCCACACTACCAAAGTAATGAAGTCAGGATGAAGGGCAGGCCCCACTTTAGATTTTGAAAGATAGCCATTCACACCAACAGCAGGAGTGTTCCCATTTCTTCTCTTCCTAGCCCAAACTAGATATTATCACAAAGAAAAACCATTGCTTTCTGATGGACACAATGTTTCATTGTTGTGTTAATTTCCATGTCACTGGTTGCCAGTGAGGTTGAACATTAACAATATCCAGGCTGCTGGAGCTGAAAACAGCTCTCAGAAACTGGGAGGAGGATACATGAGTGCATTTTGGAAAGTAGTTTGGCAACATCTAGTTTGGATAAAGATGCTCAGACCCTAAGACCCAAAAATTTTACCTCCAACCCTAAGACCCAGAAATTTCACCTTCATATACTTACCCCTAGAGAAACTCACACAGAGACATCTGTTAGTATATTCACTGCCACAAAATACTGGGAAGAACCTAAATGTCCACCGATAGGAGTGGATAAATAAACTGTGGTAATTCATACAACTGAATATTTAGTATACAGCAGTTAAAATGCATGAACTAGATCAACATGTATGAAAATGGCTAAATCTCAAGCACAATGTTGAGTGAAAAAATCAAGTTGCAAAACAATACACACATTCTATTAATTATGTCCATTTAAAAACAGAAACACTCTATATCAGAGATATATATAGATATAGATATACACCTATATACACACACATATATACATATGTACACATATACATATACACACATATGCCTAAAACCAGACAAGTAAACACACCATTTCCTGGGTAGTGCTTACCTCTGTGGAGGAAGGTAAATATGATGGGTGAGGAACTTCACTTGTACCTGAAAAATTCTCTTTACTGGAGAGAGAGAGAACTGAAGACAATATGGCCAGATGCTAATGCCTGTTCACTGTGTAAGTGGGTGCCTCAGCACTGATCTGGCATACATTTTTCTATCCCTTTTGTGTCACTGTGTTAACGTATATAATCCACATACAGCTTCATATTTTTTACCCATTCCCTTTGGGAGTTTCGTTTTCTAAAAGCGGATTTTAACTCCACTCCTACACTCAGTTTGGCTTTACTCCTACCATTCTTCTGTCATTTTACCATGCTTTCTCATTTCTTTCCTTCCCATAGCATAGACTGACAGAGTATTCGCTATGCAGCCTTTGCCCCATAGTTGTTTGATAAACATACTTTATTCCTACTTTTACAAATAATTACCCTTAATTTTGCTGTTGTCAGAGTCAGCATGTCCAGTGAAATTAGTTTTTCTACTATTCGGAACACCAAAAGCCCTATTTTGATGCAAATGCAAGGGATCTATTAAAAAGTCACTTAGTATTATTGTTTTAGCCAAAACCAAACAATTCCACTGTAGCATGTAAAACCAAAAGAATAACTTTAATAAGTTTTACTGGCACTGCAATTACAGGAACATTAACCTATAACATGCAACAGAAATGGTGATACCTTTTGGACATGTTTAACAGATAAGCTAGATGTTATAATTAACAGCAACATATTCTACTAAAGAAACAAATGCAACTGATTTCAATATTCAGGTCAGAAAATGTATGTTCTTATTGCAATCTCAAGTAGCATTTAGAAAGTTTTCCCTTTCTAACCTCTAAAACACAGTATGATTTTTAATGCAATCGTACACAACTGTTTCACATTGGAAATGATCACAAGAAATCATCCTGGTGTAGTAGATTAGTGGACTGGTTTCATTTCAATTGTTAATTTTAAGAGGGCTCCTGCAGTATTGTGGATTTCAGATGGGGAAAACTGGCAGACCAGAAGGAAAAAGCCTTGGTCTTAGAGTGGGGGAGGGAACATGCAGCGGCACACAGGGCAGGTGCCGGACTTCTGAAGCCAGATGGACACACACGGCTTGTGGAAATAGTGGTGGCATGGCAGCTCAGTTGCCACCTCCCCCTTCACATATTCACTGCAACATATGGGGCAACACATTTCTTGCCCCACTGTGCTGTGGTCTTCAGTGACCAGGATCTCGGGAAGACTGTCGATGCTCTCCTTGCTCGCTGGTGGATTGGCCACCTCCACATCCACAGCTAGAGACTCCAAGTGTGCAAGGGCCGTTTCCATCGCCTGGGCCAGACGTTCTTCAAGTGCCATGTACGTGAGGAACTGAGGATCCACGTAGGAAATGGCTTCGGCAACTCCCAACCCATCTGCAAATCCATCAAAGAGGCTCCAATCCACTTCTAGGTCTTCACTCACACTGGAGTCATCTTCGAGATTGTTGTTGCCATCCAGCATGAAGACCCCAGGCTGCAGAAACTCCTGACCGGAATCATTATCCCCCTCACTGCTGCTCTCATTTTCATTGTATTGGAGCCAAGGAACTTCTTCTGGCAATGCCCGCTCCACATCCTGAAGAGATGGTCTTCGAACTTCAAGTTCATCACTGCAATTACTGCCAGTGATGGCACTAGCACTAGGGCTGGCATGGGCATTGGCATTCACTCTGGCATTCACTCTGGCTGGCTCAGGTCCATGCTCTTCTTTCCCTGGCAGAGTCTCCCAGCTTTCGCCACTGGATGACAGGTTTTTCTCCCAACCTTGAAATCTCCCATGCAAAGCAGCAGTCCACTCTTTGTCACTGTCAGAGTCTTCATCGCAGTATTTGTTATCATCACTGAATGTCCAGAAGTCATGGTCAGCCATGGTCCATCGCCGTCTTAGCACCTTTTCTGGCTTCATTTGGTCATTCCTGGCTTCCCCCTTGTCCTCAGGGTACTTCGGCTCAGAGTAGCCACTTGAACTCTCACCTCTGCCTCTCCTTGCCAGGCTGCCGGAGCGGCATTCACCAGTGCTGGCAGTGTCCCTCCACCTGGAAGTACTGTGTGGCATATCGTCATCATCATCAGTATCAAAAAATATTTTTGGTTTCACGCAGTTTGGACTGGCCAGATTCCTGATTTTGGGCCTCACAACCGGTTCCTCTGCACCCTTAGGGATGTTTTCCCCACCACCACAAATACTCACAGGAGCCCTGCTGGGACATGCAGGTAAATTCTGTTCCTGTCTCTCCCTCTCCAGGCCTTCGCCTTTTGTAGCCACCTTGCTATCAGCAGAAGTCTGAGGAGCCACGCTCTTTTGCTTCAGGAACTCAACTCTGCTAACAGAGCCTCTGGCTGCAGGGGCTGGGTCTAGCTTGTCAAGCTCCTTTCTCACATCATGGTTAAAACTAGAGAACTGGGGGGACAACCCAACCAAAGACCTCACCTCTTTCTCTGGGTCATACAGCTTATCATCTTTAAACTTGCCAGTTTTCCCTCTCACTGGCACTCGCTCCACAGGCCCAGCCCCCTCCTCCTCGCTATCATTTGCCCGGAAAGAGTCAATATGTCCATAAGCCATTCCTCTTCTGCTACCCAGACCCCTGTACTCTCTTGGCGGGTACCTGGAGTAGTCTTCATTATCAACATTCAGGATGGTTCCCAAACTCTCACTGCCATCCCAGCGACGATGACTGGTGGAAAATGGTGATCGGCTCCTCTTGGTGGTTTGACTGGGGACTGATCTGTGCATTGGGACTTCAGATGCCGTCTTTCTCTGGCTGGAAATCCTTTCCTGCTGGCTCATGGATGGCCTGAAACTGACATAAGCATGCCTTTTTCCATACCTGTATGCCATCTCCTGCCTGTATGGGACTGATACCCTCCTGCTGGCTTGGGCCATAGAGGCTTGCTAGATTTCCAACCCATTGCTCTGA